GTGTGAGGCTGTGATGAATGTGTCGTGAGGAATTGAGGGGGCTTGTCTATCACTCTGCCTGCACATGATAAATCACTCTACCTGAAACCTACTCACCACAGCGGAAAGTGGACAATAGGCAATGCAAGAGAGAACAGAGCTGGGGTGGGTGAGAGGAGGAGAGCAGGCAGAGGGATCGATTATGAAAAAAAATTCTGAGACTTTGGATGGGGGACTGTCCTCGAGCATAACAACGAGATTAATTGAAGACTGAAGTTGAGACAAGGTCTGAATCTTTATGAGAAAGGGGATGTGAGGCACAGAGGACAGAAAGAAACCAGGCTGACAGGAAGAAGTTAGGGGCTCTTTCTGGGACTCTCTCGAACAGCAAAGCGACGTCATTCGAAATTTGGCATCTGGTTCCCATCATCCTCAGCATTTGTCTGTTCAACATACACAGCCATGGGAGAAGAGACCATGTCTGTGGTATGCGCTTCCTCTGCCGCACGTGGTCATCACGTGACCATGACAATTCCACTGGGGGTCACACAGAGGTGATGGCCACGAACAAAGACCAAACAATAGAGATAAAAGAAATCATTTCTCAGTCACACTAAGATATGTTTAACCTTTGGCCCTGGCAAACATGGCGTGGGGGTTTGACTGGGGCTCCATATTCATGCACTAATCTATCCGTCCACTCGTCTCCCCTTAATCTCTTCTTCAAATGCAATGAGGATGTTTCTGGTCACCACCAATGGGCAATTTATTCTGTATTGAAATCTCCATTAGTCATCTTGTTGTGAAGAACATTTAAAGATATTCTTGACCTCAGCTCCGGTTGAACGGAGATCAAACAAACCCAATGCCTTTAGATGTGTGTGTGTGTGTGACTGCAGGGAATTTAACACTGTTTGACAGCGGAGCATTTAGAGCTAATTTGTGGACCAACTTGGAGGAACCAGTGAAAAGGAACCCCACCCACACCAAGTTCCATCCTGTTCTTTCATTCACACTCCTTTTGCTGTAATCATTTGGCCATCGCCCTCTCGGTCCCCACTCCCCTTCCCCCTGCTGGACACAAAGGCAGGAAGGAAGCCTGGACGGCCAGAGAACAGAGAATGGCTACTAGACAGAGCAGGTCAGTCGGAGCAAGCAGTCAGTGGTTTTCCTTTCATAACCATAGCAGGGATGTGACCAAGGGAGCTTGGGGGACCGACTACGGGTCAAATATGTGATGTCTAGGGTTGATTTCCTTTATACTCACCTAAAATCTGTCATCTTCATATTAATTAGGTAATGTTTTATCTGATTGATTTAATCATTTGGGAAGACACAACCCAGGTTAGCCATAGCTGAACAACCACTCGCTAACACGCCACCACACTCGGTTTAAATTTTCGACCTGAGGCACTGACCCGTACTCCCCCACGGGCAAGGTCAGAGACCTTCTGTCCGAGCTGTCGCGTGAGAGATCTATGGAGATCTGATGGAGGTGGGTGCATTTCCACTTGGCTCTCCATCTTTAGCTGCGGACGTGCAGAAAGGCTAAGTGTGATCCGTGATTATGTGTGCAGGCGTGTACGGTTTGATGCAATCCAGACACAGCCTGCCTGCTGTGCTGCACATTGTTTTGACATGCAACAGACAACACAGTTCAATCAAAGCGTGGTTCATGATTCCACACTTGCTCCGGTCACATGTGAAAGAGATTGAATAGAAGAAAAACGTACTTTCTGTCTGTTTCTGGAGTGGACACCTCACTGCTGAAGCCTAATGATTCCTGAGGACAGACAGACGGAGACAGGTGTCAGATTGACTTTTCAGCCAAAGATTGCGTGAAAGTGCAGATAGTGTCTCTGCCTACCTGGATCTCAGAACGGAGCTGCAGGGATGTGCTGCTTGGATCTTGTTTCTCCTGAAAAAGACAAGGGAGGAGACAGAAGATCAAATGTCAGTGTCAAAGGATAATCACTTAATAACATATGAACTGTGAGCACTGAGAAGACTAGAAAGAAGGAAAAAAGATCTGCAAAAGGAGAAGTCAGGTTAGTCGACTAGAGAAACAGTGGATGGCATGTTTAACAATGCCCTCATGTGGGAAGGACGTATTTTGGTCAGACACACCTGCACGTCAGGGAAAACAAACACGAACACGTGCGCACACACAGACAGACCAACAACCCTCCCATTGACGGCTCAACAAGTCAAGTCTAGCCTCAGGTAAACCTGCAGTACTTGTTCTGATTGTTGGTGAATGCCGCCGGGCGGTGGTGTAGTCGAGGCAAGTCTTGGCTTTCCTCGCGGAACAAGATATCACAAAAGCACCTACGTAACTGGCGACATGAATTCCACAGTGCTATTACAATGACGCTAGTGGGCACCTCCCTCCCCACAAGATAACACCTGCTGGGTTTCCTTACATTTTTAGAATACAATATCCCATATTGGACAAAATGAAATGGCAGCAGACAAGGGCAAACTGGCTTGTATAGAAAACATAACCAGACTACCAAAAGGAATGTCCTGTACACAAACAGTGGAAAATAACATTTCAAACCTCTCTTTCCTTATAAACTGTTGCTGAGCTTCTCTAGCCCATAATGTCAGTTCAGGCTGTTTTCACTGTTACACAAGGCTGGTGCTTGTATATGTCAAAAGCAGGTGTCCTCATAACAAATCCAGATACAGATGTCAGATGCAGAGGCTGCACAATCAGAACAGGTCTGTAACTTCAATCTGAACCCGCTGCATGTGATTACTTAAAGCCAATGAAGGGCCTTGAGGGATTGGTCAAGTGCATAGCTTCTTGGTTGTGTTCTTGTGTGCTTTTGAACTCTCATGAAAGAGATTATCCAACTCCCTGTACTCGCACTCGCCCAATGCTACCACGCTGCTCTTGAACTGTGGATTATTAAACCCCACAGGAACAGAACTTTGCTTAAGGGTGGTGACCAGATTTTCAAAATGTGGACCGGGGATTCAAAGGCCTGCATCTCTTGCCCTTGGGGTTATCATCATGTCAACATTGTTCATTTTTAGTGGACATTTTCTTGCTCGTTGCATAAATGACAAATATGTGGCTTTACTATCAATGTGCCTTTACTCCTCCTGGCAGGAGCTGTGAGGGTAGCCCGTATTACTTGCTCAATGCTGAGATCATATAATGAGGCAAAATGAGAGAATGGAAAAATATTTGTGAAAATAATAATGCATACACGTGGCAGGCTTGATAACATTAAGCAGACTATGAATGGCATGGGAATAAGTTTACAGAGGAGATTAGTCAACAAGATGATTTCGTATAAAGTTCTGTAATGGACAGTTCTTTGTGATGACCTCTAAGCTTTCATTTATTTTGGGCCATTTTTTGAGGAAGTGTCTACGCCACGATATTGCTGAAATCCATCAGATCCCAAGGTGCAGCGAAAACACAACCAAAGACAAGTTCCTGTTTCTACTTTCGATTTCTATTTCTGTACATAATCTGCCAATGTTGCTAAACTTAAAAATCAACACAAAATGTCCCCTGGTAAACCCATAACTGTCTCCTAAAGGTGTGTTGTTATTCGTCAAGGCTGAAGACCACTGGAATACGTGCCAATGCGTCCTGTCATAGCAGCTTACAGTCAAAGTTGTGGGGAATTTCCTCACATTGTACGTAACAATAGGAGTTTAAATACTAGTCATTCAGCTTGGCAGCCAAAGTGGCATTTCAAGTAGTTATCTTACCAGAGGATCACTAACTATGAACGGATAAAAGAGTTGACATCAACCACGTAGGTTATGTCAGTAGAATCAAGCCGTCGCCACAAAAAAAAGACAAATTAAATACGGAGTCATCCAAATGGAGAGCAGGGATAGGAAATGAGTTGTTTCTGAGAAATACGCACCATTCTCTATCTCCACACCCAAATATTAGATTGTAGGATAACAGTCACAGGAGGCTGAATCTACACTTCCTACACTTGGTCTGTCGTACCTCCTAATCAGAGTGAACTTCAGTTTGACCTTCTCTGACTGGGCTTTGAGCAAGGGGGCACAATCCTTCCACACCCTCAACCTCCAAGCATGAGTCAGCGAGTGGCTAATAGCTGAAAAGCACTTGAAGTGACATAACTTCTGTTTAAAGCTCTTTAAGAGCCTGTAGCCTGCCGGTCATAAGAGCAGGAGACCTAAAGTGCTGAGGTGGCTAAAACCCTCAAAATTTGCCTGAACCCTACACTTACCCCCGACAGTAATCAACTGAAGGCAGACAGTCAAGATGTTAGCGAGACAGTCTGGCTGGCTTAACTTTCACGCTACAAGTCCTAAGTCTTTTTTGCCTTGTTCATCTATTTGTCTGTTACAGTGATCAAGCAGACAGAGACCTGGCTCCGGACTTTTCTTTGGAAAGTAAATCAAGAAATGTCGGGAAAAGCTCTGAAACAATTCCCCCGGGAGTACGGTGAGTCCCATAAGTCAGAGAGCAGGTACCTGTCTATTAGGCCGTAAAAAACAGACTCACAGAGTTTTGTCTGATTGCATTGCAGCATCGGGGAAATCTGGGAGGGTGATGATTTTTGTTTTTTCTTACAGAGGGAGAGCTTGTGTTAGGCAAAGAAACAACACATACATCCCTTAAACAAGCACAGCTTTGGCAGCCAACTCTGATCAAACAACTGCATGGTGCAGAATAATGTGGGTGTACTCAGAAGAACCCACATAAAGAAGGAACAAGGTGTGTGCTCATATGCACGCGTAGTCACAAATGATTTCACAAAAAGGTAGCGGCGGTTTGCTTTTGCCATCAGATCCTCTCTGATGGCTCCTCCGGGCTGCAGTGACAGAAAAAGATATGCCCGGCTCACCGATGGATAACCAGACACAGAGCCCGACAAAGCCAGATGCATGACACCACAGACATAAACCTACACAGACACCCAAACCAAGGAGCACCTACACACTCTCAACTCGCCTCCACTTCCACAGACAGAGACACAAAGCAGCTCTCTGTTCCTCCTGCTACTCCTCAGCTTCTCTTTACTCCTTGTCTGTGCGTGCCATCGCTGACATGGAAGGAGTGGGTGGGATGGTGAAAAAGCTGAGGAGAAGATCTGGAAAAAAACAACTACATCCCATTTGCCTTTAACTGCAGATTTGTGAGATGATTTTGTCACACAACGTGGAGAGCAACCAGTGCATTGCTAACGAAGAAGCAAAAGAGAACGGTGAAAAAGTTGCCAGCGTAACAGAGACAGATTCTGAAAGAGAATATCAAATTGATGCAGTATCTGTGTGCGAAACTTACATCTGAGAACATACTCCCAGAGGGAGCATGCTATCCTTTACTTGAACTTACCAGCATCAGCCTGAGATACTGCCCTACTTACCGCGAATTGACACCATGCGTGTGAATGTGCATGTGTTTTCCCCCAAAGATGGCCACAGGGTTGTTTTCCACAATTCACTGTGTGTGTGTGTGTGTGTGTGTGTGTACATGCAAGTGTGATGTGAATGCAAGACCCTGATTGGTTAAGCATGACTGAAATGAGTTAAAAAAAAATAGAGAGAGAAAGCAGTAAGGGAGCATACGAGTGAAGAGCTCCGGCTAATGAGGATCACTATGTCTGCAGACAGGGGATCTAGCGTTTCCATCATTAACCCAGAAACTACAGTTAAACACTGCTCTGCCACAGCAGCACCATACCCACGTTAATGAGAGGGAGAGCATAGAAATACAGATGAGCGTTAAATAGCAGCCCTTTAGTTCAAACAGGACGGCAAAGCCCACCACAGGCACGAGCTCCAACAGTGGAGTCGCTGCCAACCTCAGAGGCAAAACTAGCGGATATGCGGCAAAACTAGAGGGACCAGGTGGCATAGTGGAGGTACGCCAACTGGCATGGTTGGGTAAATCTGGGTGGGCGAGAATGAGGTGCCTAGGTAGAGGGACGGGCACCAACTGGAAAGGTCGGCGGCAGACCCAAAAACACATTAGTCGTGGGACCAGTACGGCACAATGAAAGCCTGAGGAACTGGCTCAATCGGAAGATCTCACAGGAAGATCTACACGCACTCATTCCTGACCTCAGTATATGCCAACTCTGAGCTGCCGCACACTCGGTGACACCTCTATCGGCTTCCTTTCCATAAGGCTCGAGAGTGTATGTGCGTGCATACTTGCAGCACAGGCATGCGTGCTTCTACAGTGAGGAGCATTCCTAAGCCCAGAGGATCATCATTGCTTTGCTATTTCAAGACAAATACCGGAGTTATCACAAATTCCGACGACAGTCTCATGATCCCAATGCTGAAATCGTAGAATGAATTACAAATATATACCACTTGCTTTCCACGAGGGTTATGGCAATAACGAAGCTCGGCCAGCATCGTTTGAAATCTTACAGCAACAGAGGCAGCTGTTGAGTTGCGGCGTTTCTAAGCAAAAGCCTGAAGGTAGAAAGGACAAATAAGCAGCAGAATTTGCGACAGTTTGTCTTTCTTCCGCACTGTAGTTTTAACCCGGCGGAACTGACCCACTTTGACGACTGAACTTCACACAAGCCTCGTGGCAAAACAAAACAAGTCAGTATGTAAGTCTTGACCCCCATCTGTCAAGCTACTCAGCTAGAAAACATTACAGGGCGATCCTGAGGCAAGCAGATCAATCTGACACCAGCTGAGGCGTTGCGTCAAAAGTGTTGAAATTAAAAAGGTCAACAGTGAGGATTTTTAAACCAAAGCATCAAAGGGTTTAATCTTCAAGGCCTGCTTGTTTATCCACCACTTTATAATTACTCTCAAGGATTATTACCACAGACAGTGTTGCAATTTCTCATTATGGTTTAGGGCATGTAGAAATGTGTTAAAAGATTTTGCCCCTCAACCACAAATTTCAAAAATATCCATTTTGATTTATACTTCATGTACATCATCTGCTGTGGTTTGAGAGATATGCTAACATCTAGTTTGATGTTTTCTGCCGTCGGGTATACACAGTGATCCACTCGAAGGACTAGTCTCCACACTTTTACCTTAGCTCCTATATGTCCGTGTTTTGGCATGTTTTCACCATAAGTAGCAAACACAGTGTTGAAGAGACTAAAGCAAGATACAGTAACAGACAATAAGGAAAAACTATCTGATAAAAAGCATTCGTCTTCATAGATTTATTTATTGATCAAATAAAAAAAAAGTATTGACCCGCATGTCCTGATTTTTTAGATACCATTTTTGACTGACATGTTAACCACAGGCAGGACAAAATGAAATAGTGCTTTAGGGTGAAAAAAAAAAAAGGCAACGATATAATAACACATCCCGAACACATCGTTAAAAGACCAAGAGCTCATCTTGAAGAAGAAGCACTCCTACAAAACTTTGAAGACTTGAAAAGCACAAAGCACACAGCAAAAACTTGTCATGGAAATGAAATGCAAGGGAACACTGATTTAGGTGGAAGAGACAAAAACAATATACTACTATACTTATTCCTTCAACAGCAAATACACCAGCAATTACCCAAAACAGGTGTGTTTAAAGGATGGATCTGAAATGTATAGCTGTCTGCAGTGTATGTTGATAAGATCAATTGCATCTATGTAAATTGCATCTTCCGTTTGTGGTTCCGGTCAAATATTGCAGATATAACAAATGCAAAACGCTATAAAAATAATAAGTAGGCTCTAAATGTCGTTGAAATCTTTACTTTCGCCCTGATTTTTCACTTGAAACAACAAATTCTGTTAAGAGTCGCTTAACTCTTTTGCTCCCTTTCAATACTTCCTCTTCCACCAGTGAGCCTTGTGCATCAACAACTCAGCATGCCAGTGAGAGCCATCGAAACGCTCATTGTCTATAGGAGCACTGGGGGAAACTGTGCATGGTAGCGCTAATCCATCGGTCCCATACCCAAAGGGGGATGTTTATTCAACCCCTTGTGTCCCTGCTACTCAAAAAACTAACATGAAGACGCTGTGAAACAATCCAGCAGGAACCAGGCCGGAAGTGGGTACGTCGATAGTTATCTCTGAGAGAGCCTCTCTCATCAGCTCCTAAAAAGCGTTTTACCACAACAGCCAGCCACCACTTTGTTAATTCAGGGGCCCCTCAAGAGCTGGCAGACACATTGTACAAAACAAACACAAATATTAAGCTCCCCACATTTTTGTAAAAATGTTAGTGTTGCAAGAACATTTCTCCAGAATGGCGCAAAAAAACCACCAAACAGAAACCAAAGACAACTACAAGACTCAACTTGAAAATGTTTTGGAGAACAGAAACAGTCAATAAGAGGGCTTCTTCTTTCACTTTGTTGTCACCATACTGACCACAGTCGAACTGTAGACACTGGGTCTTTCTTCTGGGAATTTTATAAAATCAAACTGCCAAAAATGTTTTCACCAGACAAAGTTAACATATGGAGATTTTGAATTAGACATTCATCATACTTTAACCTTATAGGCTTCACTCTTATGGCACCAGGCTTGCCCTTGCCTAGCACTCCCTTTATCTTGACTTCTGACCCCTTTAGTAGTCTGAGGCCCTGTTCAGACCTGGCATCAACATGTGTCTTGGTTGATCCAATCACAAGTGGACAGTTCTGCCTTGGCATTAGAATACCCCTCCAGTGACCACTTGTGACCATTTCTCCGCTTCATATGCAAACACAAGGCAATACGGCAGTATTACAATAAAATCCAAAACACAAGATTCACTCTTACTGGTTTCTTAAGAGAACTCTGCGTCAGTTGAGTGTGAAGACCAGGAGAGGTCAAACCTTCTTGGTCGCAAAAAGTTACTTTGGAAGAGATGCGAGATGATAAGAGGTCCCACGTCAAAAAAAGAACTGACCTATTCATTTGGAGTGGAAAAAGAACCAAGACAATGACTGGAGAGGGTGTGGGACATGATTGAGTCACCCATCATCCTGTACCCTTTACGAGTGACAAGTCTTTCCCCAAAGGGCAAGTCCCTGAGGAGTGCAACTTGCTAAATGTCTCCCCATTAACGTGGCTGATGGACATTGCGACCTTCTTTAACTGTCTGCTATTGGTCCTTAGGGAGGCACGTTAGGGTATGACGTTTGCTTGCAGCCACTGATTTCTGTACATACTTCACAAGATACAAGAGTTATTTGCTACTCTCTTTCTGACTGGGTGTCCATTCTGCGGTGCTTTCTCCTCACTTCATCTTTGTCTCTCATGCTCTGCTTTTCGTTCTTATCCATCTCCTCTTGTGTTTTCACAATGTATTTGAGTTTCACAGGTAAGGCGTCATATTGCCTGAGAGGAAGTAGTTTGGCTCAACCTACTCTTACCCTCCGTGAAGAAACGGCTGCTCTAGACTTGAATATTCCCCAAACCTAATTTTAGAAAAAGGACTGCACTGAAATGCAAGGCAAAAGTTCAATCCATATAGCGTAGGTGCATACTGCGCTTTTGAGAACTCTCAATAAGGTGTTGTCTGACCTATATTCCTTCCTTCATGGTTTTTTTTTATTTCTCCTATATTTCGGTGCCAAACATTGCAGAGTAGCGGGACAGCTGCAGGCTCCATTCTCCACTCCTTCTCTTCATTCCCCTCATCCTCCTCATTTCGTCTGTTCACATCCTTATCCTCCTCCTGTCTTGGGCTGCAGGCTCAGGGCCCAGTCAGCTCTTTTCCTCTCTTCTTACACCCGGGCTGCAAAATCTGCCCCGATTGCTTCCTCTTCACCTGTTTTATATCGTCAGGATGAAACCTTCCCAAACTATAAAATGTCCAGAGGTAATCCATATTAATGTAAACTCACACAAAGGCCACACAGAGAGAAAACTTAAACCTACGATCAAACCAAAAAAATCATCTATGTATCCACAGCTATGATTTTTTTATGCTTCCCAATCCTTCTCATGAAAGCTGTGAGAACAGGATGTCTACCTGGAGTCATTAAAAGGAAGAGCACAATAAATCAGCTATCCATCTGAGCCATGCTTAACCAAACCAAAACCCATGGCTGCCTACGAGCAGAAGAGGCCTCCTGTTGAACTATACTTTTGGTATACATTTGTTTTAGAAATGAGAACAAATTACCTTTTCCTAAAGGTTCGTACCAAGTAAATTCACCATGAACAAATCATAGAGCTATTGTGAAGTTAGCATAACGCTCAACACTTGTTTTTGTGGACCTACTGGCGAGTGTGCGGAACAGAGCTACGCCCTCTGTGGCAGCACCAGCAACATTCCTTCACACATTTGAGTGCAGCTTGGCAACCAAAGGGGTGCCCCACTACCCTACATCCTTGTGAAAAGGACCCCCAGAACACAAATGCATTCACATCCAGAAAAAGCATACTGCCTTTGGGGAAAGTCTTAAACTTTAGCACACATCCATGTTTGTTCCGCTGCTGTTGTTCCTTGCTAGGTTGTTGGCTAAGACTGTGGAAATTTCACTGTGTAAAGCTACGAGACTACTTTTAAAAGGGGGATTTTTAGGGTCTTATATTAAAGGATTTGCGAGAAAAATGATCATTCATCAAAAGCATTTTGGAAGCATGCAAATGCTTTGTCTGACCACTGTCAGCAAGTCTTTGTTTTTTTGTCTTTTACTTGTGTGTGCGAGTGGGTTTGCATTTACCATGTCAACCTCTTGGGAGACTCGTCTTTTGCGTAGCTCCTCCATGCGGTCGTTGACGTCACTGAAGCAGGTGTTGTAGTACTCAGAGTACTCCTGGGCTAGGTCATCTATGTTGCCCAGAGAACCATCCTGGAGAAAGGAAGAGACGACATGGTTTAGCTAGGGAACTATACCACATCCCGAAATAGGAAAGCTGATAATGTAATTGTACGGGGAAGAAGAGTCCTTGCAAATGTATACAATTTGGTATTCAATGAATCACTTCAAAAACTAACAGTAAATGCAATGATTCACTCGTTCACGCAGCTTCTATCACTTTAACAATCTACCAGTGCTTCAGGAAAGGAAAAAAGTCTAACCAAGATAGTACACTGTGTGACAAGCCCACCCCCCTCCATCCTCTCCATTTACAGCACAGCTTTAGAAAACCACTGTCACATACACTTACAATTAGTGGCATATAAAAGGTTCCTACAGGCATTTCAGTAAAGTGGCATGGCTTTAGAGAAACACATGACTCATCAACACACATGTACAGAGAGGTATGTGTTGTCTACACACACACACAATCCAAAACAGAATAATCTAAATATATCACTCAATAAAAGGTCTGTATATTTTCGGCAGTTGATTCTTATTAAGTCCCATTCAGTGTCTTTTGCCAGCCATGGTTTGATCCTGGGTTTTATCTTTATCGAGGCTCAAATCAAGGATGCCCTTTACCTCCTCAGACATTCACCTAACTACAAACCAAACACACTCTTCCGGTTAGCTGTAGTTTAGGTCAGCGCAGTTCCTGTCATTGTAGGAAAATATGTGTTTAGGGAGGAAGCTGTGCACCAAACAGTAAAGACCTTAAACAACAGAATACTCTCTGTTGTTACTTTTGGAAATATGAATAGTGAACCCAACCATGAAGCAAGATCAAGAAGTTAGCTGGGGTCAGTCCTCGTGTATGGTTTGGTGGGTTGTACTCAATGCAGTTCTCCAGCTAACTAGTCACGCTCCATCGGGTCTGAAAAATGTATTGTATCCTTTAATTAAGCCCTGAAGAAGAGCCACCTCTTTTGCACTTGCTGGAGAGAAGACGGACACTCATCTCTTGCTTTGGTAAAAATGTAGGCCATTCTGGCAGTGATGGCAAACTGTTAAATATTCATCAGTGTTGATCTAATCTGTGCCAGGCAGACAGCTAGCATTGAGTCACTGTGCAGGGTCCGAACAGTCTCTCTCAGTCTCTGTCTTTCTCAACCGGACTCCCTATCTGGGTGCCAGGCCGCAAATGAATGGATCCCTGTGAGTGTGAGTGCCACAAACACACGCACGTGGGCATAAGGCCCCTCTGAACACACATTAGCATTCACATGCATGCATGCATGCATGCAGGAGATTTCAAAAACATTGGACCAAAACAAACTCAGGGAAACCAATCGTATACAACACAGCTCAGTGGACAAAGTTATGTGACGGCACTTGGTGATTGTGCACGGAACACAATATCACTAACAAACACACATGTTCTGTCTCAAAGTGCAGCTTGGCCGGCTGTGATCCATCCTCCTCGTCTCATTGCTTGAGAAATTCTGTTTCTGGCCCAGACATATGGTCCGAGATGACTGAGATTCCCAGTGGGAATACTCCATGAGCAGCAGACACATGCTATCCCCAGCATTCCTCGCAAAGATTGAAAGCAAGCTCTCATTACAGAACTCCAAGATGTTTTAATCACCATACACATGTCACAAAATAGTGCTGATCTATTCGCCACGTCCATGAGATAAGAACAAACCGTGTCCTCAGATTACACCAACTGTTGATTAAAAGAGGGCTTCTCACGTTAGTGTTAAAGAATAGCGAGAATTGATTAATCAAGCTTTGCCATTTTTCTGGTCCCACTCCATCAGGTGCATTAAATGTAAACCTCAACTGTGGACTGTAAAACTGCACATGCTAGCTGTTCTTAGATTGATGCGAGTCTCTGGCTGTATGCATCCACGTGTGTGCAAACCCTGTGTTGTGCGTGGATAACTGAAATTCCTCCAACTCTATAGCAGTATGAGCTCACGGGGGTCCGACACAGCTGACCCTCACCGTGTAAAGTGATACCGCATATGCTCAGTTATGTACATATCCATATCCACTATGAGACAGCACGTGAGTGTAAGTGTAGAGAGTGAAAATTCCTTTAGGGAGAATCGCAGAATCTGAGGGAACGCGTTAAGAAACGTAAATCTTTGATTGAACGTGTGTGGTGTCAGCAGATGAGCAAGAGTTTAGTCGATATTTTAGAGAGAATCTGTCAACGTGGGAGTGTAGGTGGAAGAGCATGGACGGATCTAACAGTGGTCCACACATCCAGTTTGGAAATGTGGGCGGGGGGGGGGGGGGGGGGGGGGGGGGTGAGAGTGGAGGCTAGACAAGGGATGATTTGTGGGATACTGACTAGGACAGCTGTGGGGTGAGAAGAGAATAAAACATCTGGAGTCTGGGGGTGAAGAAAAAGAGAAAATAAATCAGCATTGATAAGAGATTCTAAGGATGGAAATTAAATCCCGCACAGCTTACCTAACCTGGAAATCATATGGGTCTCTGTGTGCTAATTAATAACCCTAAAAACAATGCTTACTGTAATAATATAATTAACACAATTTCAGAAACCAATTAACCACAATAATAAACATCTAGTTTCATGGAGGTATGTTTGAAATGGAGAATAATTCCAACTCAGCTGATGTAACAGCCAACTCCCAATTTTGACTGGAACAATGGCAACAATAGTCATACAGAAAAAAACAACACCCGAGCAAAAATTTGTGAGTGAGTTTGTGTGTATTTACAGTAAAGAGTGTGCATGAGTCATTTACTTTACAAGCCTACTTGAACAAGATGGCTACTCCCAATGTGCAGCTGAAAATTTTCAGACAACAACTGAACAAACTGTGTTCCGTGTCACTTCTGGACCGAATTCAAAAAACTCAACTCACAACAGAGAAAAGGTTCTGAGAAATGTAGAAGACGTTCACACGGACGCAATAACTGTGACTTAGTGGCTGCCATGTTGTTCCAACCATCAAACACACAAATCAGTGGCATTGCACCACGGTGGATAAATATTTCAGCAATGTGTGATATGGTTGCTACTGAGCCATAACCAAGTGAATTACACAATATTCATTCAGGATTGCGTTGGAGGAATAGAGATGATTACCATCCATGCCAGACATACAAGATAATAAAATCAAGTTTATCCCTTTTCTCATGGAAAACAAATCAAATATCCTCAGCTTTGGTTTGGAATATACTGCAAATGTATCATGCTTACTACAGGCAGCATGGTAGCACACTTGAGAACGCAAACAGTATTAAGTAGCCTCTGCTAGCTTAATCAGTTAGCCACGGTATTCCAGCTAGCACAGAAGCTTGTCTCCTGGGACTTTCAGTAAGTTAGTATAAAGCAGCATCGCTTTAATAAAGATGCAATGTTGTGTACAGTGTTAAAACGTATACTTCATATGTTACCACCCTACTGGAATTATAGTTTCCAAACATTTTACCATTCTGTAGCCTGTATTATACCGTTTTTTTAAATGGAAATCATTTGCACCATTTTATGATGCAACAACATGAAAAACCACTGCAGTGTTTATTTGTCGTTTCACAATGTAAATACTTTTAGTTCGGTACAAGCTGTTCAAGCTGTTATTCTAAAACAAACACATTGCCAAGAATGAGCAGTTCCCAGCTGAAAGGACCATTTCCTCACAACATAACATCTGAATGGCACTCCACTAAAGCAATCTCTTGCAAAGTTATTAAAAAATTCCACAGCCAGCATGCACGGCACTGATAACTTAGGTCTCCTTGCGTGCTTAGGAGTCACTGCCAAGGCACACATCTAATCCCGCAAGCAAGTTACGCTCAATTCAGGTTTTTATACATTACGTTAGATGTTGCAAAGTCTCACAAAGAATGTGTTTGTTTATTATAAGCATAGAGAAAGACATGCCCAAAGGCTTGTTCTGGTCTATCCTTTGGGCTCACATTCCTGACTGGGTTGAATGGCGGAGTACATGGTGTTAACCATTGTCAGAAGGCTGGCCTGGTGACTGCCCCTTTTCTCGGGGAAAGAACAATGACAACAGTTTACAGTAGAGCCACGCATCTGATGTAATGTTTGAACCTCGGTGGTACGATCACTTCCACTTGCAATGCAACCTCAGGACAGGTGCGGCAGGTTGACCAAACTACAGGAGTTCTGAAAAATATCGGATGCACTTTAGTGGAGAATTACGCAAAACATAGAGCCAGTGGTCTGGCCAAGTCTGACTAAGATGTAGTGTCGGTGACGGGAGCCAACGGGGGAAGAGTGTCGAGGAAGGTGAGGCCAGGGGGCAAAGCCCAGCCACTTTAGTGGGCTTCCTGAGGATATCCAGGTTTGAGCAGATCAGTGCTCCACCATCCCAACAGAGGAAACCTGCCAGTTCTCTGTGTGACCTCAATAATGACAGCAGTCAAGGAGGGGGAGCAAAGGAGAAGTGAGCTGAGTTGGACTGGGCCACAGTAGACACAATTAGGCTATGATAGACTGTGTTAGAACATGATTGGCAAAGATATAAAGTGGCCTAGCTCACCACGGTTTGGCAGAAAAGGACTGGAGCATACGCTGCCACTCCGTATGAAGTGCTATGTGGGAAGAAGAACATAGAAAGCACCTCATCTAACCATTTGTTTTCGCAGACACAATCAATATCCAATCAATAGAGAGAGAGAGAGAGCGAGAGCGAGAGCGAGAGCGAGAGCGAGAGCGAAGTATCCAATCCTTAGGTCTAGAGATGAAGCACCGTCTAGTACATAGTCAGTGTTTTCTAAATGGAAAAAACTCCCACCCCACACTGTGTGAAACGCCACAAAACTCTCTTCAAACAGAGACGGATTTCCTGCAGGCAAGTACAAGACTTCCACGAGGCTAAAGACAACCTTTCAAGCAAAAACGGGATGAGAGGTTTCTTTCAGAGGAGCAAAAATGAAATAATGGATGACTGTCAGCTTTTGACTCTCCAGGTTTGTTATCAAATCCTCGAGACTAGGAAGGGGAACAATTAGAAGTTAGCCCTTAGTGAAGGCATGTT